TTTTCTTTTTTCAATTTCATAATAGATTTAATAATTAAAGTGTTGGTACTTTATTTTCATTTTATTTGGGCTTGGGAGGCTTTTGTTTTGTTTTGTTTTGTTTTGAGATAGGATCTCACTATGTATTCTAGCCTGGCCTGGAGTTCACTCTATAGACCAAGCTGGCCTTGAACCTACAAATCCACCTGCCTCTGATTCCTGAGTGCTGGAACTAAAGTCGTGTGTCACCACCTTGCCTGGCCCATGTTTTTTATTTTAGATAAATGCATTCATTTGCAAAATGTGATCATCCTGTTTTAAAAGTATTTTAAAAACAATATCCAAGATTAATCAGCCAAAATTAAGATGATTCATTTTTTCATGCTGTTAGAAATCTTTACTTGATTTTACCTTAGGGAGTAAAGTAACTAGATGATTACTAATTTTTCTAAAGAAAGTGTAGAATTAATCAGAAAAATTAACAAAATAAGGATAAATTATTGCTTGAATAAATGCCCCCCCTCAATATCCCCTGCAGGAGGGAGGGTCACTCAAAATTGAGCCCAAGGCCTCACAAGTACTAAGTAATCACTGTGTTACTAAGTTGTATCCCAAGCCCTAACTAAATACTCTTAAACATCTTTTTTGGATTGGTTTTTTTTTTTTTTTTTTTTTTTTTGTTTTTTGAGACAGGGTTTTTCTGTGTAGCCCGGGCTGTCCTGGAACTCACTCTGTAGATCAGGCTGGCCTCGAACTCAGAAATCCTCCTGCCTCTGCCTCCCAAGTGCTGGGATTAAAGGCGTGCGCCACCACCGCCCGGCCCGATTATTTGGATTGGTTTTGAATCATCAAGCAGAGTATGGTAACATATACCTGTAGTCCCAGCACTTGGGAACAAGCTGGGGCAGAACTGAAAATTGGGCTACATAGTGAATTCAAGGCCTTTCTAAACTATGTACTGAGACAGTATCTTAGACAAAAACAAATTAATTTTTTAAGTTTGTAAAATTATATATATAAAAAAAGTAGGGGGTAGGGCCTGGAGTAGGGGTGGGGAAAAGAAGGGTTTGACTGTCCAAGGGCAACACCAGAGCATTTTTAAGGGTAACCAACCTGTTTTGAGACCTAAGTGTGGTGAGGCCTCAACAAATTCACAGAGGCTCCTGGCTGAGTAGATTCGGAAAGAGAGCCAGTACCCATGTATAATCGTCCACTGGGTGCAGAGTTATGGCTGTTAACCCAAGTGAGGCAGACAGTGCCACGGGAACGTTTAATTGTGTGGAGGTATACTTCAGTAAGGTTGGTATTTAAAAATGGCAGTCACTGTGGTTCTAGGGCCCCGATTCTGGAGACCAGAAAGGCATCCATTGCAGAAGCATCCACAGGGCAGGACAGGACAGGATTAAAAGTTTAGGATGAAGGATGTGTTTACTCTGTGGAGATAGAAGAAACTTGTGGTGGAGGAATTCTAAGAGTGACTATCCCAGCTCAGTCAGCTCATGTGAGCACGGTGTAGTGACCCAGCACCCTCATCTGTGTAATGGGAGTAGTTACCTGCTGCTCTCCAGCCTCCCAGGCTTGTAGTAAAGATCTGTATAATGGGAGTAGTTACCTGCTGCTCTCCAGCCCACCAGGCTTGTAGTAAAGATTTAAATAACAACAAAGACAAAACACCTTTCTACTTAGAAGCTTAATAGAGAAGACTTTGCTCGTACCCACTACTAGTGATTTTATTCTCAGGCGTGTTCAAAAGAGGGGAAGGTGGGTGATGATTCTGAGTGCAGCTTATTCCAGCCTCTCACTTCCGGCTATTGCCAAGTGCAACAGTTTAAATATGTGTGTTGTTGTTTCTGTTTGGTTAGCATCCTGGGGCCCTACCTGACTCTGTGCCAGGCTCTGGGTGATATGCTGTGCTGGACACACTGGTAATTAGGATTCATTCCCTACTATTGAAGGCTTAAACCACTGTGACATAAGACAGTATGAGATGCCGTGAGGAAAGCCAGACCCAATGCTAGAGGAACAGAGTTCACAGCAATTCGTTTCAGCTTAGGCCTTTCCAAGTCACATTAGCCAGCAGAGGTCTGGGGCCTAGTATGCAAGCTCATCTTAGGTCATCTCTAGCGCCATCACATAATGAACAATTATTCAGTGCCAGGAACTGTGCAAAAGAGCCAAAAATAAATTGTCTCTGAGCCCACGGTCATCTTCATTCTTCTGTGCATTAAACAATGTTTATGTTAGAATACCAGGAGACCAGAATGCAGGTGTGAGAGAGCCACTATTTTGGATTGCTTTTCTCTTGGCCGAGGTCAGTCAAATTTCAGTGAGATTGAGGTAACCCTAGGCTCAGGGAAGCACACAGGAGCTTTACTACCCAGATCATACAGTGCTCCAAGAAGTTACTGTTCTGGCTTGCTGTTGTAGTTGTGATCCCATTCCGGTGGAGAAGTTGGTGTTGCCACTTGGAATCAGCTGCAGTCTGTCTGTTGCCTTTGTCAGACAAGCTCCCTAAACCAAGTGGTGTATAGACCAGCTACAACTGGAAGAGACTGAATCATAGTTGCTCTGCCCTTGCCGGGTGGCCAGGTCTGTACTAGGCCTGTAGGGTAACGGGTGGCAGACAAAAACCTTTGTATTCCCTTCTGGGTAACCGAATACCTTTCCACCCCATATCCTGAAAGTATGCATGCTGAGGTGAGGGTAGTGGCACATGCCCTTAATTCCTGCACTTGGAAGGGAGAGACAGGCTGATCTCTTTGAGCTCAAGGCCATGCCAGTCAAGGCTACATAGTAAGACCTTGTCTTTTAAAAAATAATTAATTAATTAATTAATTAATTAATTAAAATGAATAATAAAACCACATTTTGATGTATTTTTCTCAGAGCATGGAGGAAGTACAGTTTGATTGTCTGAAACTTCCTTGAGAACAGTAAGGTTAAGAAGTAGTAGGCTTTCTATTATTCTCAGGAACTGAAATAACCTTCAAATGTGTAAAAAAAAAAATTTGTTCTGTTCTTTATACATGTTTGAATTAACTGAAACAGTTCGTGGGGACATCAGAGTAACAGCTCAGTATCAGAATGTATATAGCTCAACAATTGAACAGCCCAACTTAAAAACAGCCAAAGGACTTGAGTAGACATTTGGCCAAAGAAAATATACAGAATATGCAATAACCTCATGAAGAGATGTTTAACATCACTGATCATTAGAGAAGTACAAATCAAAATCACACCAAGATAGCTATCAAACCTATACGAAGGGCTGCTGTCCAAGGATAAGTAAATAAGCAAAGCGAAGAGGCACTGAGCAGGCTGCAGGGAAACTAGACCCCATGTCCTGCCGGCAGCGACGTACTGTGGTTGGACCCCTGTGTCCTGCCGGCAGCGATGTGCTGTGGTTAGACCCTGTGTCCTGTAAGGGGGAGCTGTCGTGAGGTCTAGCAGTTCCATGTCTGGGTCTTCACCCAGATAACAGAAAGCAGGGATTCAAGTGTCTGTACAGCTATATTCATGGAAGCTTTATTCTCAATACCTAAAATACAGAAATGGTCATTGACAGGTGAATGGCAAACAAAATGTGGGCTACCAGATGCTGAAGAGGTGGATTACGGCTTAGTTGCTGAAGATCTGGGTTTAGTTCCCAGCATTCATGTTAGGCAGCTCACAGCCACCTATATCTCTAGCTCCAGGGCATTCCACACCCACTTCTGTCCTCTACAGGCACCTCTGTGAGTATGGGTATGCTCACACACAGAGGCACAGATATACAGAAATCAAAACAAAGCCCTTTTGGTAGCTGGAGAGATAGCTCAGTGGTTAAGAGCACTGACTGCTCTTCCAGAGGTCCTGAGTTCAATTCCCAGCAACCACATGGTGGCTCACAACCATCTGTAATGGGGTCTGATGCCCTCTTCTTGAGTGTCTGAAGAGAGCAATGGTGAATATAAAATTAAAAAAATAAAAATAAAAACAAAACAAAAAAAACCTTTTAGAAGGTAAATATATGTGTATGTATCATATATTATCCACACAAATATGCCAGCTTACAAGTGTATATGAATTGGGGGTGGGGAAGCTTAGGGACAGGGTCTTATTGTGTAACCCAGGCTGGCCTTGAGCTTGAATTCCCTGTGCCTCAGCCCGCTGAGTGGTGGGATTACAGGTGTGCAGTACCATGTCTAGCTCTTTTTTAAAAGAAAGGAGATTCTAATGTGTCCTTCAACACAGATGAGCCTTGAAGACGTGCTAAGTGATAAAAGCCAGCCACAAAAAGACAGATGCTATGATTCTTCTCTAGTCAGATTCACAAAGACAGAAAGTAGAACAGTGTTGCCAAATGCCAGGGGAAGGGAATGAGAGGGAATTGGTGTGTTGTAGGTAGAGTGTCAGTTGGAGAAGATGAAGTTTCTAAAGCTGAGATTGGTAATGTCTGCACAGTGGGAATTCACATATTGACACTAACCACTTAAAAATAGTTTAAATGGTAGTTGCAACTGTTTTACCACGATTTCAACAATGGCAATGCTTTTTAAATGAACATTAAAGACACCTTTTGAGAGAAATGGAAGCCTCAAACTGGCAGTCTATGACCGACTTAGAAGATCAGAGTAGCAATTCAGCCTTGTTGGCTGAGGGCCTAGGACTGTATGGGATCCAAAGGCTTTCGGTCTCCCCAAACTTTTCTTACAACACCTGGGATACTCTGTTATCTTCTATGTTATTGCCCGGGTGCCCTGTAGATCTCCATACCCCATCCCACCCCAGGTGGGGCTGTAGTGGTAACTCTAGTGGCCTTACTTGTCACGGGGGATCTGTGACAGCATGGTAATTTTCCATTCCAGTCCTGTTCCAATGTCTTCCGTCTTGGTTTGGGGTGGGGGGTGCAGAGCAGGTGTTCTGGGACGGTGCCAGCAGCAGCTGATCTACTGCCCCAGAGAGCTGAACACTGGGAGGAAAATTCCACAGCTTTCTTGGCCCCCTGTTCTCAGGAGTAACTTAGCCTCTGTTGTCTGTAGGTGTTCTTCTCGTCTGCCTGCGGTATAGCTGTGGAAGCCACCCTGAGGAAGAAAGCAGAGAAGTTCCAAGCCCACCTGACAAAGAAGTTCCGCTGGGACTTTACTTCAGAGCCAGAGGACTGTGCCCCAGTGGTGGTGGAGCTCCCTGAGGGCATCGAGACGGCCTAACTGCAGACCCTCAAGCCATGGGAGACCCCTTCCCTTATGGCTATAATCCAACATCTCCCCCATTCATCTGTCTTGGAACCCTCCAGTGCAGTGATCCAGTCAGGTCTTGCAAAAATGGAGCCAGAACCTGTGTTCACCAGTAAATACATTCCTTTGCTACAAAACTGGCCATTTGTGCTTCCCTGTAGCCTGGCCCTGCCACCGAATTTCAGAAAGGGGGGAAAAAAAAAAAGAGGTCGAGATGAAGCCTGCCCCAGCAACAGTCTAATTCCTTCTGACAACAAGAAAATGAACATTAAATCCATAAGAGCTGGCTGCTTATTCCATAGCTGCTTAAAAGTGGAAAGAAACCAGATCCACCCTAGGGTCTGTGGTATTAAGTCAGTGAGTTTTTCAAGTTAAATGTAGGTTTGAAGTTGAATGTGGTTTATATAGCATTTCTGCCTGCTCCTGGTTGACTGGGAGAACACCTGCCAGAGCTCCGGCCACTGGCCTCTCAGGAGCCTAGCCTGGGGCAAGGATGATGGTGGCTTGAGTCTGGCAGGTGGCCAGCTTCATCTCCCACACCTCCTTCTGGCACAAGCCGCAGCGGTTGATGCCTGAGTCGGCTGCTGGCTGTGGGATCTCCTGTCACTGTCATCCTGAAGCCTCACATTGAAGCAAGACGTGGAAGCCTCCCGTGTGTCCCCGTTTCTCACTAAGGCTACCATGACTCTTCTGATGACATGGAAACCAACAACAAAAGGAGAGGTTCTTGCTCTGAGCCTGCTTCATTGGCCCTGTTAAAGTCTGGGTCTTTTCTTCGGAGCCATGGAGATAGCTGGGTAGCTTAACTGTCCCCAGCCCTGCTGTGAGATTCTCATGAGTGCCTTCACGTTTCCAGTGTTAGGGAGTCTTGAAGGCACACCCGTTGTGCAGTGTGGGCAGAGTTCTGCCTCAAGAAGGGCTCCCAGGCCCTGCACCCTGACCTCAGGCTCTCTGCTGCACTTTGGAATCCTCTTCTGAGGCTAGAGCTCACAGCAGGCCTCTGAGAGTCCTGCTGTTTAAGACTTTTGGTTCCTCTTGTTTCCTTGGAGATGTTTTTCCAAGAGCACAATGTACATTAAAAGTCTTTGAGTTGGGACTAATCCCCCTGTGTGAGTCTCTTACAGCTAATCTGCTCGGTTCCCAAGTAGCCAAGCTGTTGTCCATAGACAACACACCTACCTGCAGAACCCACCCAGAAGACCCTGCTCACTCCCTGCAGTCTCTGGAGAAGGCAACCAGCCAGCTTTGCCTGTTTGCAGAGAGACACGACCTGTAGCTCTACATTAACCTGAAGTTTCACCTCATGAGAATTGCTATTCCTTTTTTCCCACAAAGCCCACTCATCACAAGTACCTGGGGACTGTGTTAAAAGTGCAGATCCTAACAGTTGAATTTCTGATATGGGCTGCAGTGTGTACGAACCTTGTGCCTGGGGCTGAGGAAATGGCTCAATGGGTAAAGTGCTTGGTATAAAGGCATGAGGACCTTCAGATCCCCGGAACTCAAGGAAAGCCAGGGCAGCAGTGCACACCAGTAATCAAAGTGCTGCAGAGGCTGGGCGAGCCTAGGGTCTTAGGAATACACCACACATTCACTAACACAGTGTGCTGGGGGAAGGAGACCAGACCACAAGCTTTCCACTTACATGCAGTACCCAGCATAGGCAGATCCATGGGGTGACAAACAAGGACCACCTGTAATGTGCCCTCAGAAGCAGTGGTTTGTGGTGGGACACTTGTCAAAGTGCAGATCCCCATCGCACTCCACACAGATATAAGAGCTTTAGTTCTGAGATACATTTGTTTTTTTGTTTGTTGTTTTTTGAGTGACATTGTCATTGACATACGTGGTGCAAGCAGCACCTCTGGGACAAAAGGTCCCTCCCATGGTCATTCTGAAGACAGCACCTTGACGTTGGACTGTTCCCCCAGTGTGCCTAGGTTTCCTCAGATGCCCCTCTCTGTATCTGCTTAAGCTGGGTTGAACAAGAGAAGCTGCTGCTTAAAAATGCTCACAGCAAACCATGTGCCGGAGTCCAGCTGTCAGTCATCCCCATTTGGCTTGTATGAAGATGAGCTCAGAGCGCATCATTTGTCCAGGGCCACACAGCAGTCAGCATCAAGGACAGGAGTCAAGCCTGTGCTTCCGGGCACCCACTCTCAGTCTGTGTCACAGCCATGGTTTCCCTTCGCTGCCCGTTTGTGTGTAAGACAGTCTTCCCTTCTATCCCGTCCTCGGGTCCAGGCCTTGGCTTTGTTGACTAGCAGCTATGTGACCTTGGATAAACTTTTTTGGGGGGGCTTAAGTCTCCTTATATAGAAGAGAGTTAGCTTCTATATATAGATTTGGGGGTTCTGATAAAAAATTTTCAGGTTCCTCCAAGTATTAAAAGTTGTCCCTGGATTATTACAAATTTCGGAATGGAAATTACATTTATACAAGGCAGTATGTCTGGGGCCTGAAATGTTCAAAACAGAAATGATAGAACTTTGAGTCTTCGCATGTCCCTCTGTGTGAATGTGTGTCAGTCTGTCTTTCTATCTCACTCTCTCTTTTTACATGTTTATATGCATTTACATGCAAATGGAAGTCAGGACAACTCTCAGGAATTGACTTTCTCTCACGACCATGTGGGCCTATGGGATTAAACTCCATCATCCTGTGTGATGAATAAGGAATCTGAAAACAAGGTAATTATTACTGAAAGCATGCAGTGTTTATGGAAGAGAAGCCATCAAAGTAGAATCCTCAGGATAGCTGATCTCTGAACTCTTTTTCCAGTTTCAGCACATCCAGAAGTGAGGCCATTGGCAAGACCTGCCCTGGTTTCCAGATCTCAAATGCAGGCCTCCTGGGGTTCGACTCTTATTTGCAAGGCTGGGTTATCCTATTAACAGAACCAGCAGCAGCAATGACTTGCCAAACCCTCCTGCCGGCCTCCTTAACAACCCCTTCTTCCTCTGAGCCTAGCTGTCACGTCTCACCACTTGAACAGTGGAAGACTTCCCTGCTGTTGATTGCCTCTTACTGTCAGTAATTATGTCCCCAACGTCATCCCTTATAAATATTATTTAATATTCCCAGGGCACTGTGACATGCTGGGCTCACTAACTCATCAGACATTGGCTTAACTGAGATACCATCCCCTGCTGAAGTGACGAAACAGCCATGGTCAAAACCAACATTGAGTCACACTTCCAGATAACAGCAATGCTCACCTGAACTGCAGAGGAATCCTCATTCCCTTGTAGTCCTTAATAGTTTCCATCTCCTGCTGACTACAAACATCTCACTTAGATCTTGTGTCTCCCCTGGGCAGGCTTAGTCCCATTAAACCCATCTAGATCTTTCTTGCTGTGAAGTGGCCAAAGTCTGGGTCCTGGTGCTAGCTCAGGTCTCTCTCTCCCAAAGCCCTGGTCTCCCGCTGTGGACTGTGGAAGAGCAAGATGAGTAGTTGAGGGTCCTAGCAGTGTAAGTGGAGATGCTTCCGTTTGAATGGGGTAGTTTCTGAGCACAGATTAGAAAGGAACTAGTGGAGTAGCAGAGAAAGCATTCTAGGTAGAAGGACCAGAGCACAGCAAGGGGCCAAGGTTAGGCTCAAAGCAGGGAAGAGTAGGACTCAGGTTGGAGAGGACCAGACTGTTGTAGTTGGGCGTTTGGGTAGAACATGAAGTGACTTGTGTCAGAACTGCTGTGTTGGACACAATGTAGGGTAGATCCAGGGAAACCTGTGAGGAGCTAGTGCCATTCTCCAGGTGGGAGGTGAGCAGGTGGTCCAGATAGGGTAATGACAGCACTTTACCTGTTCTGGGTCTTGATTCAGGAAGGTTGGGTGCCTCCAGAAGGCCAGATCACCCCCAAATTCTCTGAAGTCACAGACTACCTCCCACAGTTTTTTATTGTCTATTTGCTCTCCCAGTCTCTTTGCAGACTCTGACAGCCCTTCTGATTCTCACAGATCCATAGCCCATGTGGGAAGGTGAGGAAGTGAGGAAGTGCTCAGGTTTGGGAGATAGGATGGCAGTGGGGGACTCAGGATGGTTTTGTACAAAAGCACCAGAAAAGCCAGGCCCCAGTAGGCTGTGGTCACACCCGAGGGGATGCTCCTTCAGGAGCACTGAGGAAGGCCTGTATGGGACTAACAGTTAAACGTGGGTGAATACTTCCTGGTCAGGAGCCACTTGGGCATTTCTTCTGTTAACTGGAACTAGCATGTGTTGAGGTCCCTGCTCACTGGACACTGCATGGATACTTCACTTAACTGCCCCCAGGCCAGAGCTCCAGTGATCTACTCAGGACCAGTGTCTTCTTTCTCGTACAGACAAGGGAGTCAGAATCAGCAGTAAGAGGACTCCCTCTCAGCTGTCTGCCCTTGCCACCCTCCAGCACTCCTCAGTCCATTCCTCAGTCTCTCCCACTATTCCACAGGCACACAGTCTGTTACAGAAGGACAGAGGTTCTGAGGCCAGCAGTCCAACAATGTTCACGTTGTCCCTTAGCAGGGTGACAGGCAGACCCCTGGCCTCCTGCTCACATTTCACACCGGACTCTTCTGTGTCCATATCTGGCCTGTGGAGACACTGGACCACACATAGGAGGAGGGGATTCTTGGCTGCAGACGGAAGGAAAGAAATCAAGAAAACCAAACAGGACAGGTAACGTGATTCACTGGTCCTCCTCCGTGGGCACAGCTCTGAGATGAAAATGCCTTCAGCCAGAACCTCAGCTATGTGAGGTCAATAAATCTGGCTACAAAACCCTTAGGACTCATGCCGCCATTTCAAATGACATGGATAAAAGTTTTTGTTGGTTTGGTTATACAGTCCAAACTAATTTATAAAGAAAAATGGCTTACATGCTTGAACAGAGAGCAGAGAATCATCGTTAACTGAATCGTGTCCACTGAACATTCCATACATATGTTAATGCAGAAATATATACCACCTGTGGGAGTTACATGTTTACAGACACCAACGAAGTCAAGGCAGCCCTGACAAGATTCACCCTCGGGGGTGCTGAGATGCTGAGGCATGTTTATTCCAGAGTCCTGCCTGACCCTACCTCAGACTGCCTCAACTGTTTCCTCAAAAATCTACATCCACAACAATTTCAAAATAGCTAACTAGGTTGTTTAGCATCACAGTCTATTCTAGCCAGGATGTCAGTTAAGTCCTGAGCTTTCTCAATATGCAGAGGCTGGACAGCAAATGTTACAAGTAGCTTTCTTAAGACTAGCCATTATCCCAAATTTCTTAGGCCTCTGAAAGAAAAACAATACCCAAAACCAGTAAGGAAGCAATTTAAAAATAATTATGCTCCTTCCCAAAAGGTGAAATGGATGGTTTTTGGTCATTCTATCAAAAAGTACTAGTATGTCAAAAATCTTATATTGGTATAGAGCTTTGTATATTGGTAGAAATTAGTTATATTTAGTAGCATTGTATAGAACTTTATATATTAATACAGATTTAAGATTATATTTTGCTACAACGTGCTAAGGTATTGTACCTATGCAATTCTTAAAAATGCAGTGTTAAGTTCTAGTACTTTTGAAAGTTGCTATTACAATCTGATTAGGATAATTAAGAAATGCAAATTAGCTGTCAGGCAATCAAACTCATGGCCTTGTTAGATACTAGTTTAGTTAATCGCAAAAATATCTTTCAGTCCTAGAAAAATTGAAAAAATTTTTCAATCCTAGATTGAACAGATAGTAAATAGCTAGAAATAATTCAGATATACTATAGATAGATAGATAGATAGATAGATAGATAGATAGATAGATGGATGGATGGATGGTCTTCAAAAACCTCAGAGATCCTCAGAATATGACATTTAAAGATATTAAAGCCTTTTTTTGACAATGAGGCAGGTCAGCTGCTGGCAACACCCCATTCCATTTCAAAGAAGATGATGAGCAGCAGTGAGTGACCTCCGTGTGGAGTTGCTCCAAGTGTGGCAAGCTAGCCACTGGGCAAAGAAAAAGCCCATGCTTCAACTGCAGACAGAATGCTGTCCAAACCAGACAAACAGACAAAGGGAAGCTGACTGCTGAACTTTGCAGAGACAAGATAGGCAAGTCCTTCATAATTCCTGCTTC